TTTACTAACCCTTTTTTATTTTGACGGAAGTCTCTACTATTTCACATGAACTTTACTAACCCTTTTTTATTTTGACGGAAGTCTCTATTATTTCATATGAACTTTACTAATCCTTTTTTATTTTGACGGAAGTCTCTACTGTTTCACATGAACTTTACTAACCCTTTTTTATTTTGACGGAAGTCTCTACTATTTCACACGAACTTTACACCCTTTTTTATTTTGACGGAAGTCTCTCTACTATTTCACATGAACTTTACTAACCCTTTTTAATTTTGACGGAAGTCTCTACTATTTCACATGAACTTTACTAACCCTTTTTTATTTTGACGGAAGTCTCTCTACTATTTCACATGAACTTTACTAACCCTTTTTTATTTTGACAGAAGTCTCTCTACTGTTTCACATGAACTTTACTAATAGTCGTTTCTGTCGCTACGATAATATTTAAAGATTAAAAAGAAGACAAATTGGTTTTCCTTCTTATTTAAGATCAGAAAATCTAATGTAGTTACAACGCCATCTGCTGTAATTTATGTAAAACAAAACATTCCAAAAAAAGGGTGTGTCAAAGAGCACATTTTAAACTTGATGGTAATAACTACGTCCTAGCCAGTATAAGAAAGTCTATAAGACAGTTATGAGTTCTATATTCGTATATGTGTTGTTATGTTATTTCTACTTCTTCGGAACGTCCCGCCCTTGATCAGTTGACTATGAAATACACTCGACAAGATATCACATCCACTCCACCCCGACCTCGCCCTGCGGTGAGGTATAACACTTAACTACTAATACATTCAACTAGACAGGGGTGAAAACTTCAGCGCGTGGTTACACAGCCCTGCATTAACTAGAGATGCCTTGAATGTGTAATGTAAATTTCGGAGCTCGTTTATGCTCGTGAAATATTTCATGCTTACACACTTAACCCTAAAAGTATTTCGTGTTAACCAATGACTTAGTTTAGTGAGTATTTATTTTTTCACACAAACAGCTTTCAACGGAAACAAGGGCTTTTAGAACTCCGCCGTAGAATGTCTTGTACAACAGTAATGGATAAAAAAAATATATTTTCAAAATTTCAACCCATATAGACAAATGCTTTTTTGTAAATAACTCTTAACATTTAAAAAAAATGTAGTAAATTAAATAGGTTTAGAACGTCCGCTCCCCCTATGGGTCTGCGATAGGTTACGTACTTACAACGCTAAAATCCGGAGTTCGATTCCCCACGGTGGATGTAATTTTGTGTTAGAGCAAACAACAAAACCCGAACAAGAATTTCCGATAACAGAAATCAGATGATTTACCTAAGCCTAATTAAATCTGTAAAACGAAAGTATTCAAAACTTAAGAGAATCAGGCGTTTATTAAATCATTTAATTTTTTTATGTGGAAGGAAAAGTCCACATTTTTTAGAGAAAAAAAAAGACCCCCACCCACTTTGTACTGGTGGCTACGTCTGTCAGATGTTATAGATCAGAGTTTATCAACACCGGGTCGTGAGAATGTGCGAAAGGGTCGCGAACATACTTTGAAAATATGTAATAACTATTTAGTAGGTCGCGTCTGGCGATCAGTATTTACAAATGGGTCAAAAGAGATCGAGAACCATCTATCTAGATATTTAACCATCAGATTACCGACATGTTAAAAACGTCTAACCCTCAGATTACTGACACGTTAAAAATATTTAACCCTCATATTAATGAATTAAAAACATTCAATCCTCAGATTACCGACATGTTAAAAACGTTTTAACTCTCTGACTATACCTGAACCCCAGAAGTTACAGTCCGGGTGAAAATTCCCATTCCAAACTAAATAATTTTCTTACATTAAGATTTAAATGAAATTTGAAAATGTATCTTTAATTTCGGTGAATACATCCTTTACATCTACGTACTTGGACTTAGTTGCCATTGACAACAGTTTCTGAGAACAATTCATCAGTATTTTATAATTTGAACCATAAAAAAAGTAATGTTAAATGAGCAACAAAACAGACCTATATAAGGCAACCATTTACAATATATAAAGGTCTTGGGTCGCCAAGCATAGGAATGAAGGGAAAAAAATCAAATTGGTCACGTGACCAAACGTAGTCGCTAACAGACTCGGAGCACGTTTAAAATCCACAATAGCCAAACTGGGGTAGGGCTAAACTATCCCACCTACAAAGTAAATAAAGGTGGAGTACTTCAACTTATTCAACACTGACTTTTGAAGATTTACCCTTGTATTACTTCCTTTGTCTACCCAAGAGATACGTCAGACTAGAGAAACAGAAGTCTAAAACTTACGATAAAATAACAGTCTCTAAATTAAAGCTGTTTAATTGTTGTCTCTTCAAAGTCAACAAAGACACGCTTAGACACAAAATGTCATCATAATAATTCAAATAGTTTAATTAGACACAAAATGTCGTCATAATCAGCCTTTTCATAAGCTGCACAAAACAAAACACATCTTGACCAAAAACAAGAGGCTTTTGCTGACTTGATGTGAATAAAATTAGTGAATGCAATGTCCAACTGGCTCCACGATCTCAATTTATAACGAGCTTTGGGTTGGGCGTGGCCTTGTGTGCCTAGATTCTTAAACTGCAAACGAGTGGTTCTTGGCCTGTTGCTGTACAAAAGCGCTTCGCACTTTGAGGTCGTAGGTACGATACAAGAGTAATGGTCAAATCTCATTATCTAGTGAGATAAGAGTAGCCCAAGAGTTGGCGGCGGTGGGTGCTGTTGACCAGATGCCTTCTCTCTAGTCTGTCACTCTAAAATAAGGTTTTATTTATTTTAGGGCAAAGCCACATTCGGCCATCTGCGGTGTCCACTGCGGGAAATCGAACCGCGGATTTTAGCTTTGTAAGTCCATAGACTTACCGCTGTACCACCAGCGGGCCCAAAATTAGGGACGGTTATTCGCAGGTGGATTCGCGAAAAAAATCCGAGGCAAATAAAAAAACGAAAATAACGAGGTTTTTGTGATAAATCATATGTATTTTTAATAGTGGTCGCCTGGTGGGACAGCGGTAAGTTATTTTTAATAGTGGTCGCCTGGTGGGACAGCGGTAAGTTATTTTTAATAGTGGCCCCCTGGTGGGACAGCGGTAAGTTATTTTTAATAGTGGTCCCCTGGTGGGACAGCGGTAAGTTATTTTTTAATAGTGGCCCCCTGGTGGAACAGCGGTAAGTTATTTTTAATAGTGGTCCCCCTGGTGGGACAGCGGTAAGTTATTTTTAATAGTGGTCCCCTGGTGGGACAGCGATAAGTTATTTTTAATAGTGGTCCCCCTGGTGGGACAGCGGTAAGTCTTCGGATTTACACAGCAGATAGCCCGAATTCTCGGATTATTTCTCATTACAACATTGAATGTATTTGTTATCCAACTGGATTGAGTAACTGAAATTCCTAAAATAAAATAAAAAGAAACATTTAGAAAAAGTTATTAGCACCAAGCACCAAACTTTATAATAATATTCCAAGTGAAATATGATCACTATTGATTAACTTGGAGTTTCTGTTTAAAGTATATATATATACATTAATATTAGATAAAACATTCTGAATACTTAAAACTTTGCATATTCAGCGGTAAGTGTGAGGGTTTATAACGCTAAAAATCGGGTTTCTATACCTGTAGTAGATCGAGCACTGTTTGCTTGTTTACTTAACAACAAACAAGTGTATTTATATGTTATAAATACTTGTAATTGATTATGTGTTATGAGATATTAGTATTAGGCCTAATATATGCATTCTTTATGCAGTGTTAAAAATATAATAGGCCTAATACTAATGCCTTTTTATTATAGTTAGCTTTAACTATACGGGATCCACATTCGAATACATTTTGTGGATCATAATGTGTACTGTAAATATTTTATTACATTTTTATTAACACGTTACAATGAAAACAGAAATGTTCAAACTTGAACTTCCTAAAATATCTCGTATTTTAACATCTTAACACACTCATATAAATGAAAGCACAAGCTATAATATTAATTAGTACAGGGTTAATAAATGTTACGTACAGTGTGAAATATGCAGTTTGATGATAACTATATTTTTCGTGATAGATTTTTTTGTTTTTGAATGTAGCAGTTAACTTCTTTAAATTTCTTGTTATGGATTCTTTAAAACCAAGAAACATACAGTCATCTTAAAGCACCAGTTACAATAACAGATGTTAAGTATATTTTTGATAACGAATATTATCCTTTTTTTATTGTCTGGCACTGAGAACATATAGATGTTCCATAATAGTACAAATCAGAATTGTGTGAATTTTTAAATGCGATAGCGCCCTCTAACGAAGAAACATTGAATTAAAACACTATACGCGAAACTAGAAAAATGTTTTCAGTAATTAAAACCTTTGAAGTAGGTGAAGTCGTTTTATAATAATTGAATAAATAAATATTTAAATAATACATATGTGAAAATACATGATGAATACGTGCATGGCAAGTAAGTTGTGCAAAAATTATATGTAACTTATTTTATAAGCATAAAAAATAACAGTAAGACAAACAAGCTTCACAGGGTTTTATAAAGTGAAGGTGTGATACTTTAATATAAGCATGAATATAATTATATATAAATAACGATTCTGTAAAACAAAACATCTTGTCACATATCTAGGTTGATGTATTCTTACGCTAATGTTTTTTTTTTCTCGTGTCTTACAGATTTTCGTTCCCTGGTGGGTCAGGAGTAAATTACTTACAACGCTAAGATCCGAGGTTTCATTCCCCGAGGTTGCCATTGTATAGCTTTACGCTAAAACAACAACAACCAGAAATATAATGTAGTCTTACGCTAACGTTTCTCTTTCAAGTGTTGCACAAACAAGTGTATGATGTAGTCTTACGCTAACGTTTTCTTTCAAGAGTTGCACAATCAAGTGCATGATGTAGTCTTACGCTAACGTTTTCTTTCAAGAGTTGCACAATCAAGTGCATGATGTAGTCTTACGCTAACGTTTTCTTTCAAGTGTTGGAATGCTCAGAGCCCATCTCATCACAAAAAGCTTTGAACAAACGGTGATTCAAAGATCGGGCCCGAATGAAGTTAACAGCCTCAACAACTTTCTGCAAAACAATTTTCAGACTTTCAGGAAGAGTTTTTGCAGCTAATGCATGTCTGTGAAGAACACAATGTGTTGTTATCACATGGGGTGCCTTTTGCTTCACAAGTGCAGTGAAGCCTGATCTCACTCCCATCATGGCTGGAGCTCCATCAGTACAGATTGAACCAACAATGTCCCATGTGAGATCGTTCTTTTCAAAGAAGTCTTGTATTTTCTGCATTATATCAATAGCCTTTGTGATTTGTTCGAGAGGTTCACAAAAGAGAAATTAATTTTTTAGTTCTTTTCCACATATGTAACGGACAAAAACAAGAAGATGTGAAAAATTGGCTACATCACAGGATTCATCAAGTTGCAAAGAAATTTTTGCTGGACTAGATTTGAACTGTTCAATAAGTTGTTGACAAATATCTTGCGACATTTCTATAATACGCTGATGAATCGTGTCATTAGAAAAGGGAATAGCTTGAATCTTCTGTTTTTCGTTATTCCCACATACATGTTCAACCATGTCTAAGGCACAAGGTTTAATCAGCTTCTCGGCTATGTCATGAGGTTTCTTTGCCTTTGCTATTCGCATCGCTACATGATAGGAAGCTGCAAGCGTTGGTTTCTTCTCAGATACGAAGCCAAGTTTGGGCAGTGTTCCTGCAGCCCTAAACCTAGCTCTCTTTGCCTCAAATGTAGCACGGTCATCAGATGCATGGGCAGGATTTGTAGCTTCCAGATGCTGTTTCAATATTGAAGGTTTCAGTGACCCATTTCCAAGAACTTTTGAGCACAGCAGACACTGAGGCTTCTCCACACCATCCACAACAATGAAGTCAAAACCATATTGTACATATAAATCCAGGTATGTACGTTTCTTGGACATGACAAAGTCTGAAAGGAAATAATTATGAATTAGTATAGGACTGAACAGGATTGACTGACACTCTCCCTTTCTCCCCCTCCTTCCTCTGTCCCTCACGCATGCACGCGAGCACACACACACACACACATTTTACAAAATGAAATTTAATTGAATTATTATTTAATCATCAATTATTTACCCCCTGCCATGTAATTTTTTACCCCCAAGGGATAAATTTACCCCTGGTTGAGAATCACTGCCCTAACCATTTCATGTAAATCTTCTAATGATGCCATGTTAACATGTAGAGACACCGTGAACAAAAAAAAGGGAATCCTTAATAGCCGCGGAACTTGAAATTGTTTTAGGCAGGATTAGAGTAAATTAATCTATGAGACCTGTTTTTAT